TACAACGCAATGATTTCACGAGGCGTACGAGCTCCGACCATTTTGAATAAATATCCAGCGCTCTTGTAAGATTTTCATTTAGATTGCATAAGACGTCAATTTGATGGATGTCTGTGCACACATGTTTGACGATGCTCAAGTCTAGAATACTCGATTAATATAAATAAACATTTCTCTTATTGACCTCTAAATATATTTTTTAATGCGCTGTATAGACGACAAAAATTACAGACATGTGGTGACGCGTATTTAAAATGTCAAATTGTACGTGGAGTTTGTTAGGACTAATCTTGCGACACGATATGCCAATATTTAATGTAATATTACGTTCTATAAATCGGGATAAGACTTAACAAAATTTATGTGGACATTAACGACCGTAACAAGACTGCGTTTTCCTGAAATTGTCAGCGACGAAAGTGTCATATTGCGATACCACGAAAGGCCGATAGCGAGTCACCGCAGACAAATAACTAGCAATAAGCACCGCCGAGGACAACTTTGCGATGATTATTAATTATTTCCAGCAGAAACGCGCGGCGGTTACAGTTGATAGAACGCGTTTAAATTGGGCCTCGCGTGCAATGCGTACTTTGTTACGCAATCAGTTGTCAACGCCGAGTTCAAACCAGGTCACTCGCTGTCGCTGAAGAATTTTGATGTTGTTTGCGCGCGATAAAAATAAATTGATAAATTGATAAATTATTAATACGTCCAAGTATCCTCGGCTTAATTTCAACGAAGTTTTCAAGGCGTGATTGTATTTCTTTTGACTCGGTTTCATTCATTGACACACACAAAAAAAATCGATTTTTTGACCCTGTAAAGTAGACTTCCCCTTTAATGATGCTGACGTAATTGTTCAATTTGTGTTTGGTTGGTCTGCTGTATTTAAAATCCGTCTCTTTGGACATTGGGATTGATACTCGATTTATAACATGTACAATACATCTGGAAAGATTAAAATTCGGAGTGCAAAGTATTGTACTTTCCTCAAAAAGATTGAATAAGACGTTAAATATAAGCATATTACGAAAGAAATAATGTCGGACACGCTACGCGAGGCTCACAGCAATGCTTTTATTTACCATGATAGTTAGAAAGTTAGCAAATGTAATACCACGTAATTGGGAGTAGCTAGTGCTTCAAATAATCCGCGACATAGTTTGGATTGTTTTACTAAACAAATTGGTGGCGTTGGTTGGTATATTAATCTAATTATTATGTTTTAAGATTGCGTAGGTTACATTACAATGTCAATCTAACGATACACGGAGAGTTCTCTCTTAAAATTTATTCTGAAAGTCACATGATCGTGGGACAACACAGCATTTCAAAGAATCTTTGAGAAATTTTACCATACATTTTAATAAAAAAATGTATGGTACAATTTAAGAAAACTCTCATAAGGTTCTTCAAAATGCCACGTTGTCCGACGATTACATGATTCTTAGGATAAATTTTAAGAGAAAATTCTCCCCGTGTAGCGTATTATAGACAGTTAGAGATATGAAGAGGTAAAAATAATCAAATATTGCATATCAGAGGATTAGTAAATTATTCAATTATTTTTCACGAGGCTTAAAAACAATTTGCTTCATATAAAGTGAAACATTTCAAACATGTCAATTTTAATTGGATGGATTCAATCTGTGTGTAATAAAATCAGTTATTTGGTTATACATTTAGCAACAGAAAGAATCAAAAGAAATTGAATGAAAGAGCCTTAATTCATTATTGGCACAGTTTACGATAAATTTACATAAAATACTTGCGTAGTTATATTCTATAGGAATATTTGTAACAATATTTTTTGCGAAAGCAAGCGGTGAAAGTTTGTGCAAGAAAATAATTTCTTTTCAATTGCTAATTATTATTTACACTTTTGCAATTAACAATTATTTACGATGTCATCTCGTCGATACTCGACGTTTTCATATTTCTTTATCATTTATTTCCCACCGCCGTCAAATACGGCAGAGCATTAAACGAGATACACGCCAACGTAGCCAATCGACCATCGCAGCTATTTACTCTAAACCACACTAATTCCCAACGTTTCCTATTGTAATCAGCGAAACTGCAGGTTCTACGCACAACCGCGACCTCGGCAATGTCGAACCTTTCGCTGTCGATCCAAACCAACGGCGACGACGTCACGCTCGCTCGGATCGAACTAAATAAATCGCTATGGTAAAGTAATAGAGAGTGCATTGCGCTCTCAATGGTAATGACGATATAATATCGTAATATCAAGTTGATTCTGAGAAACAAAGCTGTAATAGTTTCTCATCGGCGAGCAAACTGCACGGGAAGAGACGCAAAAGAAGGAAACGGCCGTTGCGTTTATAGATTCATCTGTAAGATGATGTGAGCAGCCGCGCTACGCAGTGGGCGGATCAAATGGGGTCATCGTTAACTCTCTCGTTCCCAATACACAATTACGGTCTCGGTAAATTAATTCTTGCACTACTACTGGATTTAAATCGCGACCATCGAGTTTAATATAATAAATTGTTCAAGTGTTTACATCAATCTTGTGATATATAACTTGGAAATGAGAGAGCCAAAAATAAATACTTGCAGCTGCAATGGCGCCCAGAGGATCAATCCTGTCGCTCCGCGGGTATCCTTGCTTTATCCTTGATAAGTCGCGCTACTCATTCACTGGACGCTACACTCGCGACTCCCTCCCCGCTTTTCTTTCCCCCATATTTTTCCCCCCCTTTTTTTTTAATCCTCGCAATGTTGTCTCCAGTCGTGTCATAGAGGCCTTTTTTGCACAACTTTATCGTCTCGGGGCGGGTACGCACTCGCGATGAAAACCGGATCCGAGGGACGCGGAGGTAAGCGTCACAGAAAGTATCGAAAGTATCCGCTCGAAATCACCGCACTTTGGTACGCGATTGCTCGAAAAGCGGCCTGAATACGGCTGGCTTTAGGGACCACGTCTGCTTGCACGCGCTTAGTGGTAAGCTGAACGGTGAGTTCCGGCTTATTAATAGACAACAAAGGATGCAGGAAGTGACGACTATCGTTACATCTTGAGATGCAGAGAATCAAATGTGATAAGCTGTTTTCCGCGTCTCCTCCTAATCTTTCATATCAATCTAATATTCTGCGCTTGACGAGTATATCTGGTGTGCACGCGGTTCAAACGAGAACTCTCTTGATCGCTATCGGTGATAGCGTAGCAGATTAATATTATAGAAGCGGACTAATAAAAATTGTAGAAAAAAGTATTTACCGAGACATAAAAAAAAGTAGCAATTGAAGTTTCAGATACTCACGTTTACGTCATTTTTCATTTGCGCAACGTAGCAATCTTGTGACAAAGTGCAGAGAGACTGGATAATAAGTCGCGCTAACTTATTATCTACACCGACTTTGCCGTTCATATTTAGTCTGAACGAGTCACGTGCTAATGTGATTATTTAATTGCCAGTCAATTATGCGAGACGCGATTGAATAAGAAACCCATCGCGAATTTTTGACCAGCCGGACGGATAGCGCTGGCTCGTTTCATTTTAAGGTGGGCCACTAACCGAATGTGTCCACGTCGGTACATATCGCCGTCGTCTGCAGCCACTTTCTAAAGTGATTAAAGTATTTGCGCACACCGACATGATACAGATATCCGATGATGCGATCACTTTCAACCATTTTATGGAGCGAACGAAAGCCTAAAAGTATTACCTACTTTCAGTTGCCCAGTGTGTTCAAGTTCTTTCTATGAAAATCGACATTTGCCGGGATAAACGCGCGGGGTGAAAGGTAAAAAGATCGAAAGCGTCCGTCCATGAACGGACGGACAGAAGTATATATTTATTCGCCGTAACGTAAAAAAAAAAGAAGAAAAATAGGTATCTGATTTGCGTTACGCCCAGGCGACCGCATAATTTCTGATCGAGCCGCCAACACACCTCGCGCACATCCTTGACACCATCTGCCTAAAGGATGTGCTAAAGGTCGGCACCAATGTACATCCTGATGTAATACCAGTAGACGTTTAATTTTATGACAAAAGCGCGCAACGGTTTCCACGAAATGCTAGAAGTCAACAGCCACGAGCTGCGTGTAAATTTGTTATTTCGTTACACGAAATCTCCATCGGAAAGTGTAATGTATTCTCTAGTTGACACCATTTCCTCGGCTGGCTACTTCGTAAAAGTGAACTTGAAGATCCTGTTACTAAAAACGGCAAGATGAAAGTACGTAAGAGAAGACGGTCGACGGTCGTCGAGATCCTCGAGGCGAAAACGATCGACTTGATAAGGAGAACAAGACGACTTATCGTCGGTCGTGATGTGAACTGATCGGAAATAATACCGACGATAGCGTGTTTGTTACGCCGAGGATGAACATCCGCTTTCAGCAGGAAACACGCAATCGCGACATTGCGCTAATCTGTAAAACCGTGCTCCGAGATTACGAGGGCTACGAAACCCTTGGGTGAGTCGACATTAATCGTGCGATAAGTACGAAGAACGAGTTTGAGACTTTTAACAGAGATGAACGCTCTAATCGTATCCTTGAATAGTTCCGAAGTGATTCCAGTTGACGATAGACACGGTAGCGAATAATCTCGGCCTTGACTCTCGAAGAGGCCAAAGCCGCGTCAGCGTCTCGACGATCGACGACCCGCGGAACCGCAACGTGATCCGCAGGATCAGCGCGGACCAGCCGATCTATCATGCAGAACCTTCTACCAAGCCGCCATCGATCAAACGTGTCGAAAGGGATCACTGAACCCCGCGTTCGCGATATTACGGCGTGAACCCGACGAACTTCCCGGTCCTCCCCCAATTGGTCCCCGTCGACTCGAACGTTTCTCAAGACGGGGACCGTTCGATCAAGGCGCTCCATACGGTGCGAAAACGATCTCTATTGGAAAGTAGAGCAATATTATACGTTGGCGCGGTACCCCAGATGCAATACGGGACATTTGGAAGGAGATAGATACGAGGACCAGCTCGTTTCCACAAATACCCAAGACTTACCCGTCCCCATGGCTGACAGCAGCAGCCTCCTTCCGCCTCAATCCCTCCGCGTATCCAGGATGCAATCTTGGCTGAATTTGTATTTCACTGCGCGAGGGAAGAAACTAAAAAAAAAAACGACGACGACCACACGATGGTGATGCGGAAAGGACGACCTCCTCGTCCAGCCGGGAGACCGCGGACGAACTGGTACCCGGAGAAGACTTTTGGTGAGACTCGGACGTGAGACAACGACGACGTCATCGCCAGCCTGGTGTCTCATTGGCCGACCGTCCTCTCGGTTCTCGGTTGCTTCGCCTCTCTCTTTCTGAGTGCTCCCTTCCTCTCCTTTTCCTTCTACACGAGAACTCCTCTCTCGCCGCTTACGTACACGTCCTCTCCCTCTCCCAGTCCTCTTCCTCCTTCTCTCTCTCGCGCTCATTCTCTCACCTGTTCTCTCTCGCGCTCTCACGTAGCCGCCTGAGATATTTCCGTCTCGCTCTGTTGCACTCCCACGACAGGACTAGGCCCCGCGGTAGAGCCACTACGTGCGCAAAGTCAGTGAGCTCAACGCCTGGAACCAATCTTCGACTTGCACGAAGGTCTGTATAAGGTATATATGCGAGGCACGGATAGCCGCGGTTCAAGTGTCTCGCTGGTTAGACGATACTGTAGGTAAAGGTCAGTTAGCGTTATCTCGCGAAGGTAGACCCGGCGCTTCATGTATATTTAGAAGGTTAACGGGTTACCAGACTCAAAACCCTTCAGCCGGCTGAAAAATTCTCCATATACTTCAGCAACCTTAGAAACGTAATAGTTTAATTGTTATGATTTATGTACTTTAAAATAACTGCATATACATCAAGTGTAATAATCAAAAACTATGCCGCGCAAAAACATCCTCGGATCAGTAATATTGTCAAAGAATGATATTAAAATAATCGAAATATTCTACCTAGGAAAATCCAATCAGTCCCTTACATATTAAATCACATAGTCCGATTTTTGTTTCTTAACTCAATTTGTTGTGTAATAACTTAACGTAGATGATATCGTAAGGTAAAGGATAATAAGATAAGAGACGTGGAATGACTTATGAGAGAGTTATTAACTAGATATTAATAGTTGGATAGCAGCGGATGAACGTTCTCTACAAATGCTATCGGCAACTGCTCCAAAAGAATCGTTGATATTATCTTCGAGCTAACAGGCATCCTTCCTGAAAGGGTCAACGGTACTGGTTGAACCAGATAATGATTAGATACGAGCTGAAGTCCGCACGTCTGAACACCGCAGCTATATGAAATCTACACTCATCTTTGCATCGAGTATAATTTCCTCATCAGTACGATATTGCACAAAGTAATTTAAAGTTACGGTCTAGTCTACCACATGCATAAAAATTAATGTCCGATTCAAATTATCACCGATGCAACGACTAATATAATTACTGACACACTAAATGATATTAATGTCAAATGAGTTCCAAAAAATACAAGAGAGAAATTATATCTATACTTGAATATTCCAAATCATCGTTCTAAAGTTGCGAAAAATAAATAATAATACCGAGCCTCTGTACATATAATAAATACGAGCATGTAACCGTCCGTACGAGCTAGAAAGTCGCACAGTAAATAAAAGACTAGGTTACAGACAGAATCGTCACTGCTTGCAGATCGTTGTTCGGATTCACGGAAGCCCAGATCTACCGAGAGTCTCATGGATCGCTGCTCGATGCCTCAAAAGATTGCGCAGTGTATCCACGGATCGTTACGCCGATCCGCGGAAAAGAAAAATTCATAAGATTCAGGGAGATGCTAGCGAAATATCTATATCACAAGTCCTTACACACTGCAAATTTGGAAGAATGCCACCGCCTCTGCATCTCGTATTTCTGTCGGAATCAGAAAAAAAAACGAAACTTTAGCTAACACCAAGTCTGTCTAGGAATTTCGTTCGATCAGACTTTCAACTATTAAGCACCAAAAATATCTAATCCGTGCTTTTCTGAAATAATTAAGAGGAAATTAAGATTCTTGATAGTTTTTTTTAATTTCAAGTTGTAACTTTGTCTAGAATAAGTATTTGTCGATATACAATACAATAAAAAAACCGAGAAATAAAATGCAGCACTAGCGCTCTTAGTGGAATCAGATTTAATTTTTAGATAAATTTGGAAAAAATGTTTGATATTTCGCATCTTATTCTCTGCTATTAATTATTTATGCAAAAACTATAATAACAATAATAAGCGGATCTCAGTTGGTTTTAATGACACCGTAGCCGGTAGAGTCTGTGAGCGCGATGGTGTCGGTGAACCCGGGGCGCCTCGGGGCGTTTCGCAGGCGCGGGTCGCGAGAAGAATCCGCCGTATACACGCGCAAGTATACACAGTTTGCACCATTATGTTTAATTTATCGCGCGCACTTCTACGCACGGTTTGACCGATTCGAGAGTGCGAGAACCGCCGCACGGTCCCCACGGGGGATGTACAACACGGACAATCGGCGTTATGAATAAACATCTGCGCGCTGCCACGAAGCTCTAATGAACACACTGAAGAACTCGTCATGCGAAGATAAACAAGCTTCCTAAAATTTGCAACGTGCTGTTCAATGTGGATTCCGTGACTGAAGGAAACGCCTCGAGGAACGGGTTAATCTCTAAACGAGGGCAAGCGTTTCTTGCACTTTGTTTTGTACCGACAGAACAAAGGTAAGAGTGAATAAATATTTTAAACAAAAGAAGAAAATATTTCTTCTCTAATCCTCCCCCCCTCTCTCTCTCTCTCTCTCTCTCTCTCTCTATTTCCTCCCCTCTCTCTATCTATCTCCCCCCTTTCTCTCCATAGACTAAATTTAATCTTAAAATTTATATTAAACATTAGGCTTGTATAAAAGAATATATATAATTGTAGCATAATTGTAGAAAATTTGGTTCACACTAAAAATTTCTTCGCTGACTCACTTCCAGTCCCTTCAATTTCTACTTTTTACGTTCCTAATCATTATGAAGCGATTATTATTATGCCTACTCATCATTTCTGAGGTGCGAATATTCTTATAAATTAATTGGACTCAAAAAGTCGTCTACGTACTCCACGTTACATGGTTGGAGCTGATTTTTTGTTCTGCGTTCACTGGTTCCATCCATTATTAAAACTTACAGCGATCACGAACGTAGACAAAATAAAAAATGAGAGATACCATTCTTTCCCATCTTTCATTACAGTTCGCCATATTTAAGACTAACATTTTATTATAATGTAATTTTTCGTTTTTTGATTAATTATAATTGATCAACAAAATTAAAAACTTGTTTATATATCATGCCTTTGCACAACCAACATCTTAATCGCCGATTTTTCACCATTTTCACGATTTCCTGTATACTTAGAACACACTATACTCGGAAAGATTTCTTTTATTTTCAGTTAATATACCTATAACAGATCTTACGAAGATTCTCTCGCGAATGAAGCTTTAACAAAATAATTACATTGAATGATAAGGTTGTCTCGATATTCGTGTCCCCCTGAATCGGGGGATTTGTATATTTTATTGATATTTCACCCTACGTATCATAGAAACGAACGTTATTAATAATCATGATCGGCATATTCGCGAGCATGTTCTCCACGTTAAAGGTCGGCGTTCTCATCTATATTTAGCGCGTTGCGTTTGATATCTCGATACATCTCGACTTCTCGCTTTTTCAAATAAATGACGCAACGGCAAAGAATCAACTGAACTAGTTGTTATTTAGCGCAAAGAAGGAGAATGCGCGAGATGGAAAATACGCGATGGAAAATACGGTACCTACGGCCCTGCATAAAAGTACCTCTTGAACGCGCCCGATGAATTCCTGCGAGACGCGCTCGTATAAGCCGATTCCTGCTGGTGTGGGGTAACGGGTTCGCGACGGAGCGCGTTCATTTCGTATTCCCTTCGACGACGCGTCTCATCCGCCTCGCCGGGACCTGCGAACGGCTGGCGTCGGCAGGTTCGACCTGCAGCGATCGGCTCGATCGGATTTCAAAAGCTGCGACGGCGGCTGGGACGTTTGTTGCGAAACCACCTTGCAAACCTGCCACAACCGACGTCTTTTAGGGCACGCGCCCGCGCGTGTGCGAAATGAGATGCCAGTGCATTATCCCTCAGTAGCGTATTCCCAGGATAACGATAAGATAATAATCTTACAGCCAGGTAATTTCAAGAGATTAAGCAATAAAAAAAATACTTCCTTTCTTTTACCTTTTCATCAACGAGATAATTTTCGAACGTTCCATGAAAATTGATTCTTTACTTTCTTTTTTCAACAGGAAAAAACTTAATAGAGAAGTCACTTGTTTTAAATCAAGTTATGTGAAAAGATCAACGAAACACGAACAAAGGACGTTGGTTTAAAGCGCAATGTCCAATTTATTCTCCATAGTGGCAGAGTAAAAGCACTTTCTTCTTCTGCAAAACGCTGCAAGGTTTAAATTCGTGCGCCATCCCATAAATCGTCCGATGGACGTACGCGTATATTGAGAGATAAGGGAGATCAATTTTGCCGTACCTAATTATCTAAGTGCGTAATGGCACGTCGCGCCGACGACGACCGCAGTGAAATATAAGCAAACGAAATTTGTAATTTATGCATCCGCATTTATCAGCGTAGGCACATGATTACGCGAAGCGTAGGGAATAGGAATCTCCGGTAAAGCATAAACTCATTGGCGTGGCGGCAAGATCTCGTTCCTCTTTACTTATACGCTGCATCACGTCGACGCGAGATCCCGCGGGTCTCAGCTAGCGGGTCGCGCGCGCGTTCCTTTATTACGTAAATAATTATCTGGTACGCGGAGCGGGCTCGCGCCGCGAGAATCGTCGCGCGCGCGTTTCCGTAGACTCGGAACGGCAGGGAGAAGAAAAGAAATGCGCAATTACTGGCAGATATATTTATCGTCCGCGAGTAAACTAAACGCCTCACCTAAGCGGTATTTTCACCGCGCATCACACCGATAGCGGTGTGCGTGCCGGGCCGGTGGTAGAACGTGGCTTTTACCGTGATAATTGGTCAATTTGCGAACGCGGCGCTGGGCACGCGTCTGTCTCCCGGCGTAGTGAATGATCGCCGCCGATCCGTTGATTCATCATCGCGTTGCGCAACAATGCGAGCCGCGTACACATCGCAACATCCGATAATGCGCTTCTTTCCGTGAGCCGCGCGTGCAACAGGAATTCCTAGATTAACCGATGCTGTAACGCGCAGACCGTTCCGACGATAAGGCCGAACAGTCCCGAGCTATTTAAACGTGTGTCACGTGCGAAC